TTAATTTAACGCAAACACTAGCAACAGAAAACAATGCAACCAGGGTCTTAAATTTCAAAAGAGCCGATATTAACAAACTCAGAGAGAACCTAGGAAAGATCCCATGGATGAAAATCCTAAAGGGGAAAACAACCCAAGAAGCATAGGAAACTCTGAAAAATGCGATCATAAAAGTCCAGTCCAGCACAATACCACTGAAAAAGAAAAACAAGAAATTCAAGAAGAAACCAGCATGGCTGCACAAAGATCTCTCTGACAAACTGAAAGACAAAAAGGACAAATACAAAAAATGAAAAGAGGGGCACATAACTAAGGCTGATTATCAGCAGACAGCCAGAATATGCAAAGATGAAGTCAGGAAAGCAAAGGCTCAGAACAAACAAAGACTTGCAACAGAAATCAAGGATATATTAAAAAAAGTTTCTTCCAATATATTAACAACAAGAAAAAAGTCAAGGAAACTGTAAGCCCCCTAAAGACAAAAGATGGCAAGGAAATAACAGGCAACAGGGAGAAAGGAGAACTGCTTAACTCATACTTTGCATCAGTCTTCACACAAAAAGAAACCATAGCCCAACATATGAAAAAAAACCACTGCAAAAGAAAAATTAGAAACAAAAATTAAAATAAGCAAGAAAATGGAAAGAGAACACCTATCCAACCTTGACAAATATAAACCACCAAGACCCGACAGATTACATCCCAGAGTTCTGAAGGAGCTGGCAGATGTTATCTCAGAACCATTGCATCATATCTTCAAAAATCCTGGACATCGGGGAAATACCTGAGGATTAGAAAAGTGCTGATGTGGTTCCCATCTTCAAGAAAGGGGGAAAAAACAGACCCAGGAACACAGACACAGTCTAACATCAGTACCTGGGAAGATCCTGGAAAAGATAATCAAAAACCACTAGATCTGTGAACAACTAGAAGCAAACAAAGTTATAACTTTGACAAACAGCACGGGTTTGTCAAAAACAGATCATGCCAAACCAATCTTATTTCATTCTTCGATAAAGTGACTAAACTAATAGACCGGTGAAATACTGTGGATGTAGTATACTTAGACCTCAGTAAGGCATTTGACAAAGTAGACCACAACCTACTCCTTGGTAAGCTAGAAAAAGGTGGAATAGACCAGGGCTTTTCAACATTTTCACCCATTGTACCACTTTTAGGATATGGCAGTATCCAAGTACCACCAGTCGCCTAGCAAGGTGTCAAAAACTTGATGACCCCCCCAAAAGGAAAAAAGTGATAAAGTACAGGTAGTCCTCGACTTACAATAGTTTGCTTAGCGACTGTTCGAAGTTACAATGGCACTGAAAAAAGTGCCCCCCAAGCCACACCAAGCAAGACACTTGCCTGCGCACCCAGCAGCGCTCTTCCTCCTGTCCGAGGTTTTCATTGTTGTGAGCATTTCTGTTGAGGATTGTCAGTGGGGGTGGGGTAGGGGGTGTTTGGTTTTTATTTCCCCCCATCTGCTGGGTGGTTGCAGCAGGTTTTGGTCACTTCACATGACCCTGGAACACTGTGACCGTCATAAATATGAATCAGTTGCCAAGCATCTGAATTTAAATCATAAGACCCTGGAGATGCTGCAACATTCCAGCTGATCAGCGCTTCTTCTGGACTCAGCGGAAGTGCCAGGATCAGCGCGAAGGTCCAGCTGGAGCCTGGTGCTGATCCTGGCGCTTCCACTGAGCCCTGACAGTCCCGAAAAAGCGCTAATCCTGGCGCTTCCGCTGAACCCTGACAGCCCTGCAGCTCCAGCCATCTCTCGCTCAGGCTTATGCGGTGCTGCCACCGGTTCAGCTCATTCCCCTCCCCCGCTACCACTTTTCTAGGATGGTCGCGTACCACCTGCCAGGTGCCAATGTACCACAGGTGGTACCCGTACCACTGGTTGAAAAGCCCTAGAATAGACAACATCACCACCAGATGGATCTATAGCTGGCTGACAAACTATACTCAACAAGTAATCCTCAACGGCACTACATCCACATGGAGAGAAGTAAGCAGTGGGGTACCACAAGGTTCTGTCCTAGGCCCAGTACTCTTCAATATCTTCATAAGTGATTTAGACGAGGGAATTGAAGGGGAACTCATCAAATTTGCAGATGACACCAAACTGGCAAGAGTAGCCAACACCCTTAAGCAAAACATCTCCTTGAAGCCCAATCCCATTAGCCAACAAAGTCCCAAGGAGAGGTAGAGCCAAAGGACCGGGAGGCAAATGTCTTCAGGTCCAAAGTTGTCTCAGAAAGAAGAGAATCAGCAGAGCAAGCAGAAAAGCAAAGAAAATTGCCCCTATGGCCACCATTGTCCTTCTGGAGCTTTCTCCGTGATGCTTCCAAGTTGATCTGGAGGTGGTTCTTTCTTTTTATCTCATGCCTTTTGCGTTTCTTCCTGCTTTCTGTACTCCATTGATTGGAAACTAATAACTAATGATCTGTGTAATTAACACTGGTATTTAGTCAACAAGGGATTACCGCATTCATTCACATAATTCTGACCATGTGCCACTTAAGTAGCAGAGGAAGAGATTTTTTTTTAAAAAAAAATCAGGGACATGGCATGGGGTGGGAGCAAAAACAGTTAGAGAAAGAAAGTCATGTGTCATTAAGATATAGAAGGATTTTGACAGGCTTGAATATTGGGCGCTATCTAACAAAATGAGATTCAATGGTGAAAAAAGTAAGGCCAGAAAAACTAAATGCACAGGTATAGTATAGGTGGTACCTTGCTCAATAGTAGCAACTGTGAAAGGGATCTTGGAGTTCTAGTGGACAATCAGTTAAATATAAGCCAGCAGTGTGCTGCAGCTGCCAAAAAAAGCCAACAGAGTGCTAGGCTGTATTAACAGAAGGATAGAATCAGGATCACATGAAATGTTAATACCACTTTACAATGCCTTAGTAAGGCCACACTTGGAATACTGCATCTAGTTTTGGTCACCACGATGTAAAAAAGATGTTGAGACTCTCAAAAAGAGTGCAGAGAAGAGCAACAAAGATGATGAGGGGACTGGAGGCTAAAACATATAAGGAACGGTTGCTGGAATTGGGTATGTCTAGTTTAATGAAGAGAAGGACGAGGGGGGACATGATAGCAGTGTTCCAATATCTCAGGGGCTGCCACAAAGAAGAGGGAGTCAAGCTATTCTCCAAGGCGCCTGAAGGCAGGACAAGAAGCAACGGATAGAAACTAATCAAGGAGAGAAGCAACCTAGAACTAAGAAGAAATTTCCTGATAGTTAGAACAATTAATCAGTTGAACAATCTGCCTCCAGAAGTTGTGAATGCTCCAACACTGGAAATTTTTAAGAAGAGACTGGACAGCCATTTGTCTGAAATGATGTAGGGTTTCCTGCCTCAGCAGGGGGTTGGACTAGAAGACCTCCAAGGTCCCTTCCAATTCTATTATTGTTATTGTTATATCACATAACAATAACTTTGGCGAATGAGACAATTGATACATGAATTAAATAATTAAATTAATAACAAGCAAACAAGAAGGAGAGAACTGGGCGATCCCTGTCATGGGCCTGGCAGCCAATTACGTCATGGGCCTGGCAGCCAATTAGCCTAAAGGAGGTCCTATGGAGAGATAACTGAAACCTGAGTCATTGTTCGAGTTTTGCTCTGTGTTATTGTTGTTAATTGCGAAGTCATGTCCGACCCATCGCGACCCCATGGACAACATTCCTCCAGGCCTTCCTGTCCTCTACCATCTTCTGGAGTCCATTGAAGCTCACGCCTACTGCTTCAGTGACTCCATCCAGCCACCTCATTCTCTGTCATCCCCTTCTTCTCTTGTCCTCCATCTTTCCCAGCATGAGGCTCTTCTCCAGTGAGTCCTTCCGTCTCATTAGATGGCCAAAGTACTTGAATTTCAACTTCAGGATCTGGCCTTCTAAAGAGCAGTCGGGGTTGATCTCCTCTAGGACTGACCGGTTTGATCGCCTTGCAGTCCAGGGGACTCGCAGGAGTCTTCTACAGCACCATAGTTCAAAGGCCTCAATTCTTTGGCGCTCAACCTTTCTTATGGTCCAACTTTCACAGCCATACATTGCAACTGGGAAAACCATGGCCTCGACTATGTGCACTTTTGTTGGCAGGGTGATGTCTCTGCTTTGCTTTGCTCTGTACCTGAGGGCAAAACACAGTATCACAAAGCATATCTAGTTCCTGCTCAAGCCACCTGATCTCTATTAGTTCAAATAATGCTTCAGAGTTAGGCAATTGTTCCTGGTAAAGCTTTAGCATGGATCATTTCCAGATGTGGTCATGGATTAGGCAAGTGGAATGTCGACATCAAATTTTAAACAGGTATTTCTAAACACATATAGCTCTCTACCTATAATTTTCTGCTTGGGTTTAGGACACCTTTCAATGAATAACAGCTGCTTCAGAATCTATTACAACAAGCCTCCTTATTAGCATAGTGGTTACACTTGTTTTAGTTGCAAAAGGCTGCACAGCACCAGAGATGGTTCTCAACAGTATGAAGCTCTCGTGAAGATGGTCCCTTATCTGCAAGCAAAGTTGAGTCAGGTTCATGATAAAGTCCTGATGCTGGGCTTGCAAGGGTATGTATGAGATATAATCCTGGACTAGATAATATCTCTTTGACCCAACAAGATTTTTCTGTATATTGGGGTAGATTTCATGGACATATGGAACACCATGATTTTCAAAATAATGCTGGCATACTATGATGTTAGGGACATATTGGATTATACAGTCCTAATTTTTTTTAAAATTAATCTATTATTTGAGTGACGCACGGTCAGAGATAACCTCACTCATGTGGATTAATATAACAACTTGTTGACAGAATTCCAGTGGTAAACAAACAGATAATCAAAAGATATCTTGCTATATCCCATCAATGAAATATGCGAAACAGGAAGAAGATCAAAAAGCATCAGACAAAAGGATACAACTGTCTCCGGATGTACTAGTGAGCCTCAAAGAAGAAGCACTAGCAGGACAATGATGGCGACAGGGACAATTTTGGGTTCTTTGTTGCTTGTTCTGTTGATTCTCTTCTTCCTGAAAGAACTTTGGACCCGAAGACATTTGCCTCCCGGTCCTTTGGCTCTTCCTCTCCTTGGGACCTTTCTGTCAGTTGGGCTTTGGCTCCGTGAAGATTACTTCCTTAAGGTATTTAATTCTAACTAGTAATACGCAAGATAATTTTCTATTGTTTTCAATACCAAAATTATGGACAAATATATCAACCTAGTAAACTATTCTCAGACGATGAGGAATACATTTCTTCAAGTACTAGTGTTGACATTTGTTTGGTTATTTTTCCCATCATGCCAGAATATTCAGGTCAGACTTCCTTATGGCTGCTTCACAATGTGAAATAATGGCGCTGAATTTTTAGAAGGCAGATTCTAGTTCAGTCTTACCAAGAAATGTTTGATAATGGAACCAATTCTTCATAGAGAGGTTGGGTTCCCCTTCATTCTGCTCAGATGGATGCTGGATTGTCTCCTGTTGAAGATGCTTTATTCTATATTCCTTTTTTTGGGTAAAAAATTTATTAATTTTTTTCATACAGTTCAATAGTACTTGTTCAACAACGTATTGTCTGAGTGTATCATTCACGAATACAAATTTAATCCCTAACCCTTTATTCTTTTCTCCAGCCATTGATAAAATAAGTCCCAAAACTGATAGTATTCTGTTTCTTCTTTTTCTTTCAACCTCATAGTAAGTCTGTCCATTTCTGCACATTCTGGTGTTTTTTAAATTATTTCTTCCTCTGATGGTATTTCTTCATTTTTCCAATATTGTGCAAACACGATTCTTGCTGCTGTTATCACATGTAAAATCAAATATATGCTTTGTTTATCAATCTTTTCTGGCATAATACCTAATAAAAAAAGTTCAGGTTTAAAATCTACATGTTTTCCCAACATCTTTTCTAGCCAAGTATGTATTTTTGTCCAGTATCTCTTTGCTTTAACACATGTCCACCATATATGCTAATAAGTACCTGACTTATGTTTACATTTCCAACATCTATCTGACATATTTTTAAACATTTTTGCTAATCTTGCTGGTGGCAAGTGCCATCTATAAAACATTTTATATAAATTTCCTTTATAAGAAGTTGACATTGTCAGTTTATAATTTCTTTCCCACAAGTTTTGCCATTTTTCTAATTCTATGTTATAACCGAAGTTCTTTGCCCATGTTATCATTGTTTCTTTAACTTGTTCGTCTTCCATTTCCAAATTCAATAAAAATTTATAGATTTTCTTAATTAGTTTTTCATCAGAGGTTAATAATGTCTGATCAAATAAGGTCTGCTCTTTATAAAATATATGCAGTTTAACATCTTTATCATATCTAACTTGCATTAATAAGTATGCCCACCATGATAGATCTACATCCTGATTTTCCATCTCTTGCTTAGATTTTAAATTCCCTTCAGAATTTAGAATATATCTATATGTCCATATTTTCTCAAAGTTAACTAAATTTGGATGTATAAATGCTTCCATTGTTGAAAGCCATCCTGGAATTTTCAAATATATTTTACATTTTATTTTTTCCCATGTTAATAATAATGTGTTTCTTATATAGTGGTTTTGAAAGTACTTATGCATTTTATTTTTCCCATATCATAAGAAAGCATGCCAACCAAGTTGTAAATCATGTCTCTCCAAATAGAACAACTTTTTGTTTCTGAGAGTTAGCCATTCTTTTACCCATGTTAATACAGATGCTTGATAATATAAAACCCACTCTGGCAAGCCAAAACCTCCATTTTCCTTAGCTTCTTGTAGCACTTTAAGTTTAATTCTAGCTTTCTTTCCTTCCCAAATAAATTTCAAAATTAATGAATTTAAATCTTCAAAAAAAATTCTCTAGTTTTATAGGTATCATTTGAAATAGAAACAGTATTTTTAGTAATATATTCATTTTCACCATGACAATTCTTTCTAACATTGACAATTACAAGTTTTTCCATTTTTTTCAGGTCCAATCTTATTTGGTTCAATAATTTTATATAGTTATCTTGTTTTATCGTTGAACATCTTGCTGTTTCCAAATAGTTTCTGTTGTAGTTATGTCCAGTGTCAGAAAATATGATTGTAAAGAGTCTTTTCTAACATAGAGTCATGTAAAGCTTTTTTTTTTTTACATCATGTGTTGTTTCAAGGTCATAAGCTTCTCAAGTTCTTTTGATATTTTGGTATTGTTGTAATATCTCCTTTCACCACTAGATGTCCTTATTTACTGTATTGTCTATATCCAGGTTTAGAAAGGTTTTTTTTAAAAGTTTTTTTAAAAGTTCTTTTTAAGTTATTTCTCATAGAAATTGATTATGAAAAGATTTTCCACACTGTAAGGGTTAACTAAGTTTTCTTTAAACCAGTCCAAATTCCATTTTTGTATATTCTTTTGTATTCCTTAATTTCCTTCCCCTATTTGTAATTTCTCGCCACTTTTAACTCCCTTCTTCACTGATCTTTCCGGGGTCTTTGCTTTGGAATTTTTTTCCAATCAGGGGATCTCTATTTCCAAGTCCATAAGGAAGAGGAATAAAACAATCTCACTCAGTTTTCAGCATGTTGTTGACAATCAGCTGTTCCACAGCTTGCTGTGGCCCCTCGCTTTTTTCCCGGCTGACGATGGCTTCGACTGCCTGTGCTTACAGGCAGCCTTTTTTCCATCTGTTTGAAGAGATTCCTCGGTTTGTTTGGACTGACTGCCATCTGGTTCAGACTGCCAAAGCTTCCCTTCTTCTTCATTGTCTCTCCAGGGCAACTTTCCGACCCCTTTGGGTCACCAGACAGAACGAAATCGGGCTAAGAAGCTCCGGTTTCTTCCACCCACCTTGTCACGGCATCAGCGCTTTATTCTATATTCCTGCAGTGGACAATAGGTGGAACTTGATCGCCTAAATGGTCCCTTCTAATTCTGCAATTGTATAATAATTTCAAAAATGATCTGAGTCGGAGTTCTGAAGAGTAGTTTCTATTTTAGATAATGACTCATACATAGCTGGTTGGAGAAGAAAGATATATAGAACAGATACTTATATCTGCTTTGCATGTGGTATGGTATGACCTAGATATTAATGCTTATAAAGTCCAATTTAACTGCATTTATAATAATAATAATAATAATAATGATAAAGTTGGAAGGGACCTCGGAGGTCATCTAGTCCAACCTCCTGCTCAGGCAGGAAGCCCTATACCATTTTGGACAAATGGCTGTCCAGTTTCTTCTTAAAAACTTCCAGTGTTGGCGCATTTACCGCTTCTGGAGGCAGGTTGTTCCACTGGTTAATTGTTCTAACTGTCAGGAAGTTTCTCCTTAGTTCTAGGTTGCTTCTCTCCTTGATTAGTTTATACCTGTTGCTTCTTGTCCTGCCTTCAGGCGCTTTGGAGAATAGCCTGACTCCCTCTTCTTTGTGGCAGCCCCTAAGATATTGGAAAAGGGTAAAAATCTGTGATACAAAGCAGAACAAAAATGAAAAAAAAATGAGTTTATGAGTTGGAAATATTGTTCACGACTATCTTCGAAACAAAACGTGGAAGTCACTTAGGTGAGATCGGGGTGTAGAAATTTAATAAGTAAATAAAATAGGCAAAACAAAAATAAAGGGATGTCAGAAGTTCTTGGCAAGAATCTTGGAGAGGGAAAAAAGAATTCTAAAGAGCAGAATTCAGGATTTAGGAGCACCTGTGGATGGCATACAGTATTAAATGGGAATCATCCGTGTATTTGATTGTAACATTTCTCATCTTTGATTCACTTGACAGCCTGTAAAACGATATGGAAATATATACAGCTTGTGGTTTGGGCAACAACTTATGATAGTGCTGTCTGGATTCAAAGCGGTGAAAGAAGGAATGACCAGCTTCCCAAAAGAATTCTCGTACCGAGCAGAGGATGCTTTTTTGAACAATTTAGGGAAAGGAAGGGGTAAGTGCAAACTGTAAGATCTTAATAACCATCAAATTCTTCCAATTTGTGGTAACATTATGCATAGCACAGAAAAAAAGAGAGTAAGATATAGTAAACAGGCATTAAGCAGAAATATTGCTTAATCCACTTTACACCAAAATATTATACACATTCATAGCTTTCTATCTGTACTATTACATTCCTATATTCAAGGCTTTTTTTCTCATAGAACGCCCAGAACGGAGTTCCGGCACCTTTTTTGGATGGAACCTTGTAGGGTAGGCAAGGCGGGTTGTATGACGTGTGTGAGTTCCGGCACCTTTTTTTTTTTTTTTTTTTTAGAAAAAAAGCACTGCCTATATTGATTTGGACATTGCCTTTTTCATTAAACTTCTACCTCTTTTTTTTGAGGATCTCATCAACTTCATCCAACTACTGTACATATTTCTCCATCTTCCCCTTCCTCTGGACCCCTTTCCTATTCCTTCATATATCTGTTTTTGCAAATTTGATTTTTACCTTTTCTCTCCGTTTAATCAATGCACCTAAAAAACCCAGTTTCATATTGACTGGCCACACAAACATATATATTCAATATATCTTCATGGATCATGTATCCATTAAAGAATTTGAGAAGTGCTCCGATGCAGAATGGAAAATATTTATTTTTGTTACATAGGATACTTCAAACAAATATGATTCTAAGATATAAGCTTTCAGTATTTCCCATATATAAGAAATAGGTATAGTGGGGATCTTTTCCAATCTGCTAAAAGATCTAAAATTTGAATAACGTATGCAACTCAAATCATGTTATCCAAAAGCAAAGTAAAATGTTATTCAGATCATCTGTATGATATAACTATTAAATGCATAGTAAGATCATAATCGTTGATGGAATTTGTTAAAATACACAATCCCCATATTTTAAAATCACAGATTCTGAGCACTGGCAATTAAAATGAATATTTCTCTACAAAATTTGAATTTCCAGTTTTCTATTCTTTCACAAGGAAAAAGTTCTTTCTCACAAGAAAAAAAATATTTTTGTGGCTGTTAATCATTCGTATAATCTGCTATTGTGTTGGAGTACAGCAACCTTCTCTTGATTTTAGTATAATAATATTTGATTGAAATTGATGAAGTGAGGTGTATGTAAATAGCAGAGGGCGGTATCATGATCAGAGCTGTCCATGCCAGAATAACTTACCAGCAGTTGGTACTTCCCATTTTCTGGATGAATATTTCACGAGGTCTTAGAGCAGTGATGGCGAACCTTTTAGAGACCAAGTGCCCAAACTGCAACCCAAAACCCACTTATTTATCGCCGGGTGCCAGGTGGGTGTGGCCCACTGGATGGGCGTGGCTGTTGTCATGGAAGACTGGGTGGGTGTGGCCAAGATGGGCATAGTCACCTCGATGTTGCTCGTGGGGAGAGATGCCTGTGGGGGCCGGGCAAGGTTGGGGGAGATCCAGGGGATCTCTGGCAGGTGGGCAGTGGGCAGGAGGCTCATTCTGAGGGGTGAGGAGAGGCAAGGCGAGGCAGGGCGGGGGTGCCATTGTTGCAGGGCAAGGCGGGCCAGGGGCCGGGGCAGCTGCTGCCTGACACCATCGGCCCCCGCACACAGAGGCCAGTGAGCGCATGGGGGCCGACAGTGTCCGTCAGCAGCCACAGCCTGCCGGCCCATTGACCAGTGCACTCTGAGGCTCCGCAGCCCGCCCCCAGCAGTTCAGAGAAGCCGCCTCTGAGCTGGAAGGCCAGCCGATAGCTGAGGAGGCAATACAGTGGGTCGTGCCCAGGAAAAGGAGAGCATGTAAGGGAGGGATGGGAGGGGGGAGGGAAACCAGCCATGCTGGGATGCATCCGGCCACGTGGGACCTTGGCGAGTTAGCAGGTGGCTGGTTGAAGAGGGACAGTTGCCATCTCCAGGGCATGGTGCGCTTGCCCACAGAGAGGGCTCTGAGTGCCACCTCTGGCACATGTGCCATAGGTTCGCCACCACTGTCTTAGAGGTTGGATTGCTAGTAGTCTTGCTCTCAGGCTGTTGGCAGCAATAATTCCTGGCAGATATTAGGTCCACCTGGAAAAAGATGTCATCCAGACCTGATATCACTATTTGAGCACTTTTTACTGGAGAACCTAAGGGTTAAATTTTATAGTTTTCAACTACAAAAATCTGCAGATGGGTCCAAGATTGCTTGGGAATTATGATCCCTCTGGCAACCATGAGCTTCCCCTGGTTATCTCAGACCCAATTCATATTGGCAATTACACAATAGACTTAATGTTCATTTCAGAAGAAATGGTGCATGATCTGGAAATGGAGGACATTGTCATCAGGGTTTTTTTTTGGGGGGGGGGTGATCTCAACAAACAGGCCCGTAAAAACAATTTAAATTTTTTAGTTAATCTTTGGCACACAAATGCAATAGGAACGTGACGAAACTTGATGAATAAAAAAGCCATTTACCTATTTTGCTGGTTGGTTTCAATGTTGTGGGAAGAAAGTGCAGATGGAATCTGCCACCACTGAGAATATCCTGTCTTTTGTGTCTATAACATAAGTTCTTGTACATGAACAATTACACCATCTTAGAAGGTTTTGATGTCCGTCATATATGATAGAGGTTGGCAAGCACTGCACCTGTGGTCACCACACCACGTATGTCTCCCGGTGCCCACGTGAATCCCAAAATGAATAAATATTGTGTAAAGAAAAAATAACATGCCCAGAATTTTACAAAAATGGCAACATGTCACAAGGATTTGGTATTCCCACCTGAAATTCAGAGAGATGTTTGGCAAGAACTGGACCTAAATATATATATATACCGTATATACTCGAGTATAAGTCGACCCGAGTATAAGCCAAGGGACCGATTTTCCCACAGAGAACTGGGAAAAATTGGTGACCCGCGCATAAGCCGAGGGGGCATTTTTGCTGTTCCTCCCTGGCCGCCTCGGCCCCCCCGGCCCTGTCAGTGAGCGCCCGGCAGGGCGCAGCGTCGCCAGGCCTCCCCCCTTCGCGCGAGGCTTCTGGCGTTCCCCCTCGCGCTTGGCTGCGGCGGCCCGGGGTATTCCGTCTCGGCCTCGACACGCAGCGCCACAGGGAACGGAAGGTAAGGGGGGGAGGGCCGTACCTGGAGCATCACAGGCCGGGGCGACGCCGGGAACACGCTGGGCGGTGGCGGCGGCGGCGGGAACGAGCCGGGCGGCTGCGGCGGCGGCAGGAACAC